CTGACGGAAGGCGGCGGGGAGACTCTGTGATGCTCTGTGTTGGGGCACTTTCCTCCTCTGGCAAGTGGGGCTGACAGCGGGACTGAGTCCTTCGGGCTATTAGAAGTTTGTGGAAGGTGCTTGCGGCAGTGATTTGCGTGTGTGGCAAATGCCCTGTAGCCACAGGCTGGGGCAGCTGTGGGGCTGGGCAGCCAGGAAGTGAATCTCAGCGTGGTCTCTGTGGCCCCCCCAGTCTGGGCCTCATCTGGACTCTGGTTTCAGCACAGGAGTCTGGCTGTGGAAGGGGACAGGTGCCAGTATGGGGGGGACATGCAATGAGAGCAGGTTGTCTGCCCAGGACAGCACAGGACTCAGCTCTGGGGTCCCCTCTAGTCCCTGGTCCCTTTTGGGACCAGCACCCCTCCTCCCTCTACCATCCTCCTGTCTCCAGGTGCTGCGTGGGCCATGATCCCCAGTGTCCAGGCAGGTTCCCGTTCCGTCGGGCTGGACAGACCAGGGGTTGTCCGGTGTGGGGGCTCTTGCCTGACTGGTCCCCCGTTAATTCGGCACCACTCTGTGGAGGGCCTGCTCTGTGTGTGGCCGGCGGGGCCTTCAGGCTGTAGGGAAGGCCGATGGCTGCACATGGGTCCAGGAAGGTGGGGGACAAGCTCCCAGAGCAAGTGGTCCCTGGGTGACAAGAGATGGCAGGCTGGTAGCCTGGGGATTCTCCGCAGTGCACGCCCCTTCGTCCCGACAGCCCTGACGGAGGGATCCGTCAGACTCCTGGTTTCCCAGGTCCCACCGAGGAGGCACTAGGATCTCCTGTGACAAATGTTTATGTGGCGCTGACTGTGGGGGCTACTGTGAGGCCACTTTACAGACAGGAAAACTGAGGTCCAGGAACATAAGGCGACTGGCGTCAGGTCACTCTGGGAGGAAGCAGAGCTGGGTTTGCACCCAGGGCTTCCCTGGAGGCTGTTCTGGCCCGGTTAGCAAAGGCAGGTCCTGCTCTAAGGGACGGGACTGGCATCAAGAGGGCGACGTGGGTGGGAAGAGGAGCCCTCACAGGATCCTCACACCTCAGAGGTGACCCCAGACTCACCAGGTGCGGGGAGACACCAAAGTGCATGCTCAGGGGGCTGTCTGGCCCCTTGGCAATGCGCTGGGGTCCCTGACGTCCTGTTCCCCTCCCCCAGGCGGGGTGTATGCTCTTCCCCCACATCTCCCCCTGCGAGGTGCGGGTGCTCATGCTCCTGTACTCGTCCAAGAAGAAGATCTTCATGGGCCTCATCCCCTACGACCAGAGCGGCTTCGTCAACGCCATCCGGCAGGTCATCACCACGCGCAAACAGGTGGGCTGGCAGCGCCCAGGCCAGGCCTCGGGTCCCTGGGCAGTGGGCGTGTCAGTGAGGCTTGGAAGAGCACAGGGCGTCATGGAGGGCGGTTCGTGCCGGGAGAGACGCCCGTGGGGAGCGGGGCAGGGACATGGCTAGGCAGGCTCGTGGGCGGCGCCGCGTGTGGCTGGAAGGCTCTGGAGGGTGATGGTGTGTCCTAGCTCACCTGACCTGCGAGTTACTTGTGAATACTTTCTCCCTTCTCCCTAGTGTCCCTGTATGTGCAACAAACTATAGGGCTGTCCAGTTCTTAGAGGCAGACCCTGTGGAGTTGGTGCCCCAGGTTGAGCATCTGAGACTTGTTCCAGGGCATTTGGGAGCCATGGGAGGTCTGTGAGCAGGTGGAGGGTAGGACCAGCATTGGGGAGTCCCCTGGGGCTGCGGACAGACTGGAAGCTGAGGAGCCAGAAAGGAGGCTGGGGCGAGGGTCTTCAAGGTGGGGCTGAGGTTTCCCAGAAGCCTCCTCTGGGGCGCTCCTGGGCACTAGCCCCCCATTCCTGCTTCTGCAGGCAGTGGGCCCTGGTGGCGTCGCAGGCCCAGTTCAGATCGTCAACAACAAGTTCCTGGCGTGGAGTGGCGTCATGGAGTGGCAAGAGGTGAGTCCTGGGGGGACCTGGGTGATCTTGAGACCAGCATATGCTCGCTGACTGGGGTGCCGCCCCACTCCTGATGCCACCCCCTTCCTCTCCCCAAAAGCCCAGGCCTGAGCCCAACAGTCGGTCCAAGAGGTGGCTGCCCTCGCACGTCTACGTGAACCAAGGGGAGATTCTGTGAGTATGGGGCAGGGTGAGGGCAGAGGCAGGGTCCCGGCGAGACCCAGCTTCCTGACCCTCATCCCCTCGTGCCCCACAGGAGGACTGAGCAGTGGCCGAGGAAGCTGTACATGCAGCTCATCCCGCAGCAGCTGCTGGTGAGTGTGACAGGGGCTCTAGGCCTGCCATGCCTGTGCCACGGCCAGTGTAGACCTTGGGGCCACGGGCTGCCCACAGTGCTTCCTGGAGGAGGGGACCCTGGGGCTGCTGGATGGAGACCCCTTCTGGATCAAGAGATGGCATGTGCAAGGGCCCTGTGGCCGGTGGCTGGCCTCTGTGACAAGTGCAGGCAGGCAGGTGTGGAGAGCAGCTCCCCGGGGCGGGGGGGGGATTCCCCCCCCACAGGACCTGTCCGAGGTTGTAAGTAGGTGCCACCACGGTGTGGGGACCGTGCAGAGGCAGGGCTTGTGCGTCACGGAGCTGCCCCGGCTTCCGCGCAGACCACCCTGGTGCCACTGTTCCGGAACTCTCGCCTGGTGCAGTTCCACTTCACCAAGGACTTGGAAACGCTGAAGAGCCTCTGCCGGATCATGGACAACGGCTTTGTGAGTGGGGCGTGGGCCGCTGGGCGGGCTGGCTGTAAGAACCAGATGAGGGACAGCAACTGTTTCTCCACACCAGCCGGGGGAGTGCCGTGGTGGCCCCGGTGACTGCAGGTTGGCCTTGTGCCTGGACGCCTGGTGGCTCCTAGTCCACGGACTCCGCTGGGGATCTGCTGTCCCGATCGCATTTTGCAGATGGGGAAACCGAGGCCCAGAGGCAGGCCCAGGGTTAACTCAGAGCCTGGAGGGGCTGATGCCACGGAGCGCGGAGCCGCTGCTCCCAGGTCCTGCCGCCTTCCTCCTGCTCTCCCTGGGGACGGGGCGCCGCTATCCCTGAAGGTGTTCCGGCGAAAACGCGAGGCTCCCGCAGGCTCCTTGCCAGGCAGGGAGGTCTGTCTGCTTCCCGCCTGAGCTCTAAGCACTGAATTATGTTCCAGTGGGTCTTGGCCTCAGTTTCTCCATCTGCGAGGTGAAGTGGGTTGTCCTCCGGGGCTCGTGGAAGTGCAGCTGTCGGGCCAGTGTCCGCCCTGCGGCCAATCCGATCACAGCCGTGTGTGTGTGTGTGTCTGCCCCCGAGGGGAGGGCTATGTGTTTCTCTGGCATTAAAAGTCTGCCTTCCTGCAGGAGACCCTGCAGAGCGGCACCCCCCCGCTGCCCCCGGCTCCGCTGCAGGCGCGCTCGGGAAGGGCTTCCGTCGAGGCGGCACACAGGGGCCTGCGGGTGGAGGGCTCAACGGCTGGCGCCTCTGCCGCTCCAGGGCTGCGCATGGGGGCGGGGGGGGCCTGTGCGTCTCGTGCGGCCGCCGTGGTGGGGCGCTGCCCACTCCTGGGTGCCTCTATGCAGCGGCCTGCGTGTGGGAACCCCTGTGGCTCTGGGTGGGAGCGTCCGCGCCCCCGCCAGGCACCGATCCCCCGCTCCGCGCCTGCCAGGCCGGCTGCGTGCACTTTTCCTACAAGGCGTCGTGTGAGGTGCGGGTGCTCATGCTCCTGTACTCGTCGGAGAAGAAGATCTTCATCGGCCTCATCCCCCACGACCAGAGCAACTTCGTCAACGGCATCCGGCGTGTCATTGCCAACCAGCAGCAGGTCCTGCAGCGGAACCTGGAGCAGGAACAGCAGCAGCGGGGGGTGAGGCAGCGGGCGGGGCTCCCCTCACCCCTGCCCATGCCCCCCTCCCCCTGCTGACGCCTCCTCCCTGCCTTCCTCCCCCCACAGATGGGGGGGTAGTGGCCACTCCCAGGCTGGGCCCCTCCAGGAGTCACAGACGAGGCCCCTGCCAAAACTGGTGAGTGGCACCCGGCTTGGGTTGGGGGCGGGCCTCGGTTGTGTCTGGGGTTTCGGAAAGGAGACAGTGACCCTGGCCTTGAGATGAGAGAGGAGAGGCATGTCGATTCCCGTTGGTCCCAGGAGGTGTGGGAGGTGCGGGAGCTGCGGTGCTGGGCACGCCCCAGGGGGCAATGGGAGGCCTGGTCCAGCCCCTCCCACTCTCCTCCTGCCCCCAGGTCAGATGCTTCTGAGCAGGGGCCCCTGGGGATGGCAACTCTCCAGCGAGATGGAGGACTGCGGCCGGAGAGGTCTCCAAGGATGGTCCCCACCCCTGTACGTGTCCCCAATAAAGTCTTTTAAAAGCCTGTTGGCTACCAGGCTCCTGTCCAGATGCCTTGGGGTGGGGTGGGGAGAGACCGAGCCCAGCCCACCCCCAGGTTTGAGTCCTTCAGCTGTGGGGGACCGGGAATGTGCGTTTCTCACAGATTTCCGAGGGAGGCCACTTCTGAGTTCACAGCCACCTTTGTGGAGCTGCCTCTGTCTTCAGTGGCTGCTCAGTCCCCAGCGGGCCATGGCTGGTGGCCTGTCCTCCCTGGGTGGCTCTTGGAGTGAACAGGCCAGACTCGGCTGGCAGCAAACACTGCCTGGGATTCCCCACCCCCACCCCCCCATCAAGTGTAGGGTGCAGTTTCTCACCAAATGCGGGATCCAGCTGTCATCCTCAGGGTCCCATCACTTGTGCTCCTTGGTTGGCTTTGCAGCTGGGCAGCCACAGGTGGGGAAGAGGCCCCCCCCCCATTCCTTTGGGGTCCTGCCCTTGGGGGTTCCCCAGCTTCTATCGAGGGTGCCCACAGCCATGGTTACTGCCCTCTGCCGGCGAGTGTGCAGCCCAGAGAGTCCCAGGCCTTGAGGCCCTGCCCCGTGCGTCCCAGCCCTGCCTGGGGCCTGGCCAGGGGGCCTGTCCTCCCCTGGTAGACCACCCTTCTTCCCAGCACAGTGCTGCCCAAGCTTAAAGAAAAACAGAATTTATTGGGGGGTGGGGGTCGCTCAGCCCTCCGAGAACTGGCAGTACAACCGCTCGAGCGGAGGCTCCAGATTCAGCCGGAACGGGATTTCCAGGATTGCCGAGAATCCTTCCGCCAGAGTCGGGGCCTCGAACTGCTTCCTGGCACCAGGGTGATGGGGGGGGGGGGGGGCGCAAAAGGGAAAACCTGGCCCGGGGCTGCCCGGTGTCCTCCCCTCGGCCCCCCGCCCGGCAGCGCTGCTCACCTGTAGCCGTACATGACCACGTCGGACACCGGGGCGTGAGAGGAGCCTGTCATCTCCCGGAACTGCGGGGGGCGGGGTGCGGGGGTCAGGGGGGCGAGCCGGGCACTGGGGGGACGGAGGGGAGCGCGGCGGCGGGGGGACGGGCCAGCTCACCCGGTTGTTGTGGCGTGCCTGCTCCAGGGTGGCCGTGAAGAGGAAGCAGCGGCAGGGGACCCCTGCGTCCCGGGCACACTTAATGTACCTGTGGGGGCCAGGAAGGGGCCAGGCTGGGAAGGGGCCCTGAGCACCCCCCCCCGGGGGGCCACGCCCTGGGACCCCGGTACCTGGCCCGGCTCGGAGGGTCTGGGTTGGTGTTGTCGATCACGACCCGTTTCCTTTGCTTTAGAGCGGTCTCGCACATGGTCACACAGCGCTGCCACGAGCCCAGCGTGTCCTAGGGGACATGGGGGAAGACCCTGAGGGGGGGGGGGCAGGCAAGGAAGGACCTGTCCCCACCCTAGGGGGGGTGCGGCGGCTCACCCTGTTCACGTGGACGTAGCCCGCCGACACGAGGTGCTCCTGGAGGAAGGTGGACTTGCCAGCTGTGGGGGGGTGGGGGGGGCAGGATCAGGGGCAGCCCGAGGACCCAGAGCCGGGCGGGGGCTTCTAGAGGCCCGGGGTCAGGGTGTCTCACCCCCAGGAAATCCCACGGCGACCACCACTTCAGGATCGGAGCTCAAGAGGGAGCTGGACTCAGGGAGGCAGAGCGGCCCCGAGGGAGAGACGGTTCTCTGGGAGGGGCGGGCACAACGAGTGTGACCCCCTCCTCATACCCCCGTGCCCCCCATTCCCGCCCCGAGGGCCTCACCGGGTCAAAGGTGGGGAGCACGAAGCTGGCGACAGGCCACTTCAGAAAGAACTCCTCTGGTGTGGCGAAGGGCAGGCCGAGGTTGAGCGCAAACTGGGTGGGGGTTGGAGGAACACATGTCAGACAAGGTGGGGACATGGCTCCCGACGAGGAGGGGACAGGGGCCTCACCAGACGGTCTGCACAAGAGAAGTCTTTCTTCTTCCGCCCAGGGGCCCAGTTGGCTGGGCGTCCAGCTGCATCTGGAACACGGAAGACACACCCCCTTTTCCACCAGTGACCTTGGCAACAGAAGCCGCTGGCCCTGGGAGACCCACATACTCTCCCCACCCCTGGGTCCTTACCTCCCACGAAGACACTGTCCCCGATGGAGATGGGCACACCCTCGTTGGCCTGGGGAGGGACAGGTGACAAGACCGCAGGCAATAAGGAGCCCACTCCCGCATCTGTTTCCCCAGAACACTAACGGGTGCCCCAGGCTGCTCGGCTCCATCTGTGCCCTGCGTTAGGCCTGACCTCTGGCCTTTCGTGCCCCAGCCCATCAGCACGTCCTGCTGGCTCTGCCGTCGGGCCCCTTCTCACCCCCCCCCCCTTCACTGCCACCACCTGGATCCTGGACTGTTCGATCCTGGCTGCTGGCTGGGCTCCTGGCTTCTGCCCTCACCCATCTGTTCCCCAAGAGGCCACCAGAGGGCGCCAGTTCCCACTTCCGGGGATTCCTCTCCTCCCAACCCGCCTGAGCACCCTCTTTGCTCCCCCTCTGGGTAAAAGGGAAACCCTTACCTGGCCCACTAGGCCTCACTGTCTGACACCTGCCAGCTCTCTGACCTCACGCCCCACCCTCATCCCAACCTCCACTCTGGTCCAGCCACCGAGGCCTCTTCATGGTCCCGGAACACACTAGTCACAGCCCTGCCTCAGGACCTCTACACTTGCTGCTACTCCCACCTAAACTACTCTTCCCAGCTACCCACACGGCTCCCTCCCTCACCAGCTTCAGATCTCCCAGGGCAACTGGGAAAGGCCTTACCTGAGCACTGTAGGTAAACCCTACCTTCCCTTGCTTCATCCCTCCCACTATTTTACACCCCGGTCCGTGCGTCTATTGCCTGCGCCCTCACAGGTATGTGAGCGCCCCAGCAGGTCTGTCTTGTACACTAACCTTCAGTTCAAGAAGCCTTCGAGCTTCAGAACAAATGCACACGCAAAAGAACGCACGAACGACTGATTTGTCACTCAACCACTCTGACCCCCAGGGTTGAAGAGCGCCGCCCTCGCGAACCAACAGAATGGGACAGGTGGAAACAGGAGGCAAGGACCAGGGGAGGAGATGGGAGGGAGGGAAAGGAGGAGGCCAAATACCAGAGACCTGCAGGGGGGCAGCTGGGCCGCATGAGGGAAGAGGGGAGCCACGGGGAGACTGCCACTCACCTGCTCCTGCAGATGGTCCCACATGCCGATCACCGGCTTCCGGTACAAGCCGGCGTGCGTGGCCACCAGCACCTATGGGCGGAAGTTAGACACCATCCTGGGCTCCTTCCCAGAATCCTTCAAGGGCACGTGGGTCCCAGGGATGCTACCCCAACCCTCACCAACCCAAAGAGAGCGCCCGGGGTCCCCGCTCCTCCCCCTCCCCGACTCTTCTGCCTTCTCCCTGGGTCTCTGTTCCCTCCTCTCTGTCCCTCACTCTATCTCCATCCCTGCCTCTGTCTGGGTCCCCGTCCCCCCACCTCCACAGCCCTCAGACTCCCTTGCAGCCACACCTGAAAGGGGAGCCCCAGCTTCTCCACCACAGCCTCCACCTTGGCCTTGAACTCCTCTGCCGGCAGCTTCCCGCGCCCAATGGCCATCTGGTTGGTGAAGATCACCAGCTGGGGAGCACATGGATGTCACCTGGTGCCTTCCTCCCCAGGGCCCCAGCCTGCCCTGCAGCCTGGTGACTACGCACAGAAGCACACCCACCTTGTAGCCCTCAGCATCCAGTTCGCGGAGCTTACGCGGAATCTCAAGGTACAAGATCCTAGGGCAGGTGGGAAAGTGGCAAGGTGACCTGGGGCCCCAGGGGGGCCCCCCACTCACCCCCTTCTTCTGCCTCTTCTCACCTCCAGTCGCTGGGGCCAGTGGGAAAGACCTTCCCAGAGCGTGTGGTGATGAGGGTCCCATCCAGATCAAAGCCGGCCACCTGACGTCAGCAAGAAAAGAGGAACAGCAACCCCATTACGCCTCCAATCCCTGGACTCACAGGCTGCATCACATCACCCCTGCAAGGTAGAGACGTTACCACTCGCCTGTCACCCAAGGGGAAACTGAGTCACAGAGAGCCCACACATCTTACGTAAGGGCAAGGCATGGCAAGGATGGGACCCCGCTGGGGCGCCTGGGTGGCTCAGTCGTTAAGCGTCTGACTTCGGCTCAGGTCATGATCCCAGGGTCCTGGGATTGAGCCCCACATCGGGCTCCCTGCTCCCCGGGGAGCCTGCTTCTCCCTCTCCCACTCCCCCTGCTTGTGTTCCCTCTCTCGCTGTGTCTCTGTCAAATAAATGAATAAAGTCTTAAAAAAAAAAAAAAGATGGGTCCCCACCACCTGAGTGCAAAGCCTGAAAGCTTCACTGTACCGTCTCCTATTCCTCCTATGCCCCTGGGTCTGGCAGTTTTAAAATGAGGTTCATATCCTACTCACGCACCTCCCCTGGCCTTCACCTCAGAAGGCTAACTGTGAAAATAAACACAGGAGTGAAGTTGTTTGGGTGCTAACCGCATGTTGGGGAGTGTGCCATATGCTTTTCACGGGTTCATCATTTTACTGGTGAGACCAGTGGGGCTTGGAGCAGGTGGAGTGATGGCATGTGAGCTCGGGTCTCCGGAGCCCTGCTCCAATGGTGGTGGTCACTGCTGTGGTTTCGGTGGGTCAGGCAGGGGCTGACATACATCGATTCCCCCAAGGCTTACAACACTCCCTGAATTTGTCATCAGGTCCACTTCTCAAAAAAGTGGAGGCTAAGAGAGACTGAAGGACCTGCGCGGGGGGTCCCCAGTCTGTGTGGCTCCCTCGGCTTGGCCCTCACCTTACTGCGGGGCTTCACCCCAGGAGCAGTAAACACTAGCAGCTTCTCGAACTTCTCCCAGCCGGGGGATGACTTCCGCATCCGCTTTTTCTGCGGCTCAACATCCTCTGCCACGTCTGGAGCCACCGGAGGGGTGCCGGGTGGAGTGTCTTGCTGGGATTCAGGCGTGCAGACCTCTTTCCAGCGCAGCGTTAGTGGGTGGAGGCCGTTGACCAAATACAGTGTGTCCCCCACCCTCAGAGAACCTTCTGACCCAGGAGTCAGCTCCTGGGTCCCAGCAGTTGAGGGGTTAATTCCCAGCTGCAAAGGGAGAGGGAGGAGTTGTGATTGGCTGCGCCCCCCACCCAAAACCTCCTCTAATTAAAGATCGTCTGGAAGGACTTCCCTTCCCCACCTGCCAATCAGACCTGTAAGCCCCGCCTCTTCACTGTGTACCACCAATCAGGGATGTGGAAAAGTTACAGGTGTCCAGTCTCATCCAATTTTAAATGTGGATGGATACCCGTTGAAGCTGCAGGCCGGCGGCTCTTCTCTACTGGCCACACCCTCTTCCCTCCAAACCAGGTTTCTCCAATGGGCCTGGCTGGTCCCTGCTGGGTTGCCATTCCTCCCCAAGGCCACCCCCAGGCCTTGCTGAGGAACTGGTACCTGTTTCACTGCCACGGTCTTGGTCCCGGGGTCTGCGACCAGCTCCACTGAGGGTTGAGAGGGTGGAGTCAGAATGTGCATCCTTGTGCGACTGCCTTTCCCCCTACTGGGGTGCATGGCCAGCTTCAGGCCACATGATGGGGACAATACAACCCATTCGGGAGGGGAAAGCAGTTTATTCCTAAATGGGACCGGATGTCTCCTTTACAGGCAGTAGTCACATACGAGGCCTCGGGGTCGCCTGGGACGCAGGCCCTCGCCTAGGGGCAGGGCGGGCATTTTTCCGTATAGAACTGGCTTCTCCTTGATGACGCGTGTGGCTAGGGGCAGGTCCTCGGCTTCGCCCGTTACCACCCAGCCCTGCTTAGCAACAGGTATTTTTCACCATAGTATCGGCTCTCGCCTTGGCAAGGGTCGTTACCTGACACAAACCTTCACGGTGGCCTGACAACTCGTCTCGGGATTGGCTCCCTCCCCTCCCCACTGAGGGGTCTGGCTAGTTTCAGATGGGGCACAGCATTTCTCTTCCTATGCTCCCCAGCGGGCACCTACCAACCTCAGGACTAGCTACACCACGCAATCCCGCCGGGTGGCCAAGCAGCTCCCTTACTGGACTGGCTGTCCACCTTTCCCCAAGACCGTGTTCCCGCTCCCGCAGCGGGCCACACCCCCTACTGCTCCGGCCCCGCCCACCTTGGTTTCTGGAGCACTTCCGGTCCGTAACCTGGGTCAAGGGTCCCCGGCCCAGGACAAGGACTTGCCCGTCCGAGGGCAGGAAGATGGGGGGCGCGCCCCCAGGGGGACTCTCCAGCCACAGGCGGCCCTGGGCCTCCACCTCGGTCATCCCTGGCACCAGCCTAAGGGGAAGTAGGTAAACACGTTTGGGTGCCAGGTCGTCCTCAAATTGCCACAGGAAGTCCCGCCTCCTCTTCCCCCCCCTCCACCCCGACCAGGAATTTCCCTTCTTCCGCTGAAGGCTCCGGAAATCCCACCCTCTTGCCGGCCGCCGGCTCGCGCCGTTTCCCAGGCGACGACGCCCCGCTCAGTCCCGCCGCGAGCCCCGGACCCCAACGTTCCAGGGCAAAGGCCAAGAACCTCACGCGCACCCCCGACTCGGCCCCACGCTCACCGTGCCCGACCGTGGCTCACTTGCCACTTGCGACCAGGGAACTCCTGCCCGAGGCTCTCTGCCAGCAACTCCGCCGGCTGCTTTCTCTGTTCCTCGGCGGACGGAAATGACTCGCCCTACGGAAGGGGGCAGGGCCTTGGCTCCTCCCACGACAGAAGCCCCGCCCCCTCTCAGACCTGGGCTCCTTCGGTCCCTCCGGTGCTCTGACCTTCATCTCTCCTGCAGCAATGGGAGGCTCCGACCAGTAGGGGGGTGGTCCTCTGTTGACAGATTTTCCTCGTTCCACCAACAACTCTTAACAAATTCATTCCCTTAGTTGCAGAGGGAGAAACTTCTTTTCCATTTGATGATCGTCAGTCCAAGAAATCTCCACCCCCGACAGCAACCCTGACCCTCAATACTGCAATTTTCTCCTTTAAAGAGGGTATAATCGTTTCCACTTCATGGGGTTCCTAGAATGATTAAAGGAGTTAGTAGATGTAAATAACTTTATAAAAGTATTTGGCTGGGGAGGGGGCGCCTGGATGGCTCAGTGGTTAAGCATCTGCCTTTGGCTCAGGATCCAGCCCTGCATCGAGCTCCCCGCTCCCTGGGAAGCCTGCTTCTCCCACTCCCCCCTGCTTGTGTTCCCTCTCTCGCTGTGTCTCTCTGTCAAATAAATAAAATCTTAAAAAATAAAAAAGTGGCTGGTAGCTCTCCCTGTAAGTCTTGTCTATTGCTAGCATCCCTCCGGTGGTGGTCTGATTGGAGAGGAAGATTACAGGTTTACTTGACCCAGGCCAGACTTCGCACCAGGTGCCATTTGTTCTCCAACCCTCAGCTGTCTTATATTAAGCAGAAAACTCCCGGCCTCAGCTGGACGTTCCTGGCTTTGCCGGGGACTATGTGGGCTCAGAGCACTGATTCCTTAAAGACCATTCACATGCCACCTCATCCCCCAGAAGACGGGATCAATGGTCACACAGGACTGGAATACACCCCTTCGTACCCCCATGAATCTCTTATCTATAAAATGGGCACAATAATTCCAACTCCCAGCTTTGCACTGAAAAATCAGTGAGATGCTGCTCATTCAGCTTCAGAAAGTGTTGAACGAACACACTTTATACTCATTTGTCAGAGGTAAAACTCTTTAATCTCAGACCACCCCTCCCAACTCCCGATCCCCACCCACGACTCTCTCCCCCACACAAGGGCCGGAGAGCGATGGCCCCTGCCCCCCCACCTTGGGTGGACGAGGGCCCTTTAAGGCACCTGTGGGGGCGAGGGGAGAGGGGCGGGAGCTGGTGCCGTCCTGGCTGCAAGGACGGACTACGATTGGCAGGCTGTTGTGGGATGGAACCAATGAGAGGGTGTCAAGACGCAGGGACAGGATTGGGCCGTCCCTGGCAGGGGGCAGAGGGGCACTTAGTAAGGACTTGGTCAAAAAACGATTCCAGTCCCTGTAGTGTAAAGAACGTAAATTTAAGGCCGCAGGCCAATCCTGGGCACAGGAGGAAGGTTTGGCCACGCCCCCAGGAGGCTGGAGCCAATCAGGCGGTACAACCCAGGAAGGATAGGAGGGCGACTCCCGGGCTATTGGTCAAGCCCTTTGGGTTCAAGCCAATCAAATGAAAGGAGTTGCCCATTCTCTAGGCCGAACTGGCTTGCCACTACCCAATCCTGTGTCCTGGCTGTTCTCTTTCAACCAATGCCGCGCGAGGAAAGCCCTTGTCGCTAAGCGAAAAAACGAGAGTTAACCCCCGTGAGGGCTTTAAACTAGCCACGCCCCGATCTGGGAGCGAGCCAATCTCTTAATCGAAAGAACCTGTCTCCGGGCAAAGAAAGCGGCGACAGACCCAATCGGGCAACGAGATAGGTCCCGCTCCTCAGCGCGTGAGGGGGTCGTGGGCTGGAAGGACGGCGGGGATTGGCAGGGAAGGGGCAATCCTGGGACCCCGGGGACCTGAGAGGCCGGTCCCGGGTCTGACTCGGATTGGCCCGCCCCGGGGGGCGGGGCAGGGGTGTACTGTGGGGCGGGGCGGACGCTGGGCCAGGAAGCGCTATCCCTGGGCCTCAGTATTTCCGCTTCAGCTTCTGGAAGTCGCTGGTGTTGAGCCGTGGCCGCGGCAGGTCCCCGAAGACCTGGGTGTCCTCGGCCTCCCGCAGCACCAGCGCGCGCATGCTCGCCGCGATGCGGTCCAGGTCCGGCGAAGAGGGCTGCGGGACCGGGGCGGGGTCAGCACCCGCTGCGGCCCCGCCTCCTCCTCCCCCTCCCCACCCCGTCCCCAGCACTTTTTGCCTACAGCCAGGAAGGCCCCTCACCCTGATTTGCTCCGTGTAGGATCCTTCTACCCAACTCAAACACAACCTCCTCCATGAAGCCTTCCTGCTCCTCTCCTCCTCCCCTTCTTGGCCTGACTCTATGTGCAAGAACAGCTATCTGTCCCACTGCCCTTCCAGTTCCTTCTTACACAGCAGAAGTGCTGCTTCTCTGCTGACCATCAAGGCTGTGTGCACCCAGAGGGTGTCATGTCTAAGGATTTGGGCTGGGCTTGGCACTGAGTCATGTAACAATCAGGCCTCTGCCACCGACTAGCTGTCAACAAGCATTTCATCTCCCGAGGCTTCGGTCTCCCCTTTCAAACGCGGGGCTGGTGACAGAGTCCGAGACAATCAGCACAGTGATTGCTCAAGGACTGGGAACTACCATGTTGCCGGCGCTGCAGGGAAAGGATCCCTTTTCACGTTGGCCTCCAGTCCCAGCAACTAGTGCGATCTCCCTTATGGCCTGACACCTTGAGCTGGGCCTGGCTTCCAGCAGAATGGGAGAGGCTCCATCCTTTCTGAGACCAGCCCAGCACCCCCACCACTTGGGCCTCAAACGTTGTTAACTGGGTTTCCCCCAGGGGCAACGCAAACAGCAGCCACGGATGCTGCCAACCTGTAAATGAGGACACTGAGAGGCACCATAGGGAGGGGGACCGCAGGACCCCAGGGCCTCTTCCCTTGCAATCTGTAACTCCTTTCCAAAAGGAGGCTGGGTTCCAATCCCTGCTCTGCCCCTTCCAAGCTGAGGTCTCAGGGAAGTCACGGATACTCCCTGTGCCTCAGGGAGGCTCAGTGCTGGGCGATGAAGAGCCATCCAGGGCAGCCCAGGAAGGCCACATGTAGGATTGTGTGGGAGAAACGGAGGAGGTGGGGGAGGGGCAAATTCCAGGAGGAGCCCGGAACATGCAGGGTGGGGACAGAAGGTGATCTAACCCCTCTGAGCCTCAGTTTCCCCTTCTGGAGGGGATACCAAAATACCTGTGCCTTGCCTGGAGCAGGTATTCTATAAATGAAGCTGTTCCTAAAAACCCAGAAGAGACTTTCTCTGTAAGGCACTGGGGTACATTATAAGGCTGCAGGAGTTAAACCTTTAGGGCTCTGGCCCAAAAACCTGCCTCATGAGTTGGAGAGCAAGATCAATCCTAGGAAATGTGGCTTCCATGCCTGAGGGCTTCCTGGAGGAAGTGGCTCTGTGTCCCTCCCTCCACCCTCCTCTCCTTCTCCCCTTTGCTCCTCACCGGCCCATTCTCCTCATCCGATGACCGTGCTTCTGATCTCTTCTCCTTGAAGGCCCAGACGGGCACGGACACGGGCAGGGACTTGGCATACTGCTGTGTGGGCAGGGCTGAGGCTGGGGGCACTGAGTAGGCTGCGGGGCCAGCAGGGGTCTCCTCGCTCAGGCTGCCATCTGGGAGAGAGCGTGGACTTCAGCTTCTGTCCTTGCCTTTATCCCAGCATCCCCCAGGGGTGGGGACAGCCTGGGACACTTACCGTCTGTGCTCTCAGGGTCCGACTCACAGAAGGGGGGCAGGTCCTGGAGTGTGGCATCCTCGTCCATCACAAAGAGCCCTGTGGATGGTGTTAGTGGCCTGGGCCAGTTGGGTCCCTGCTGCTCTTCATGTGCTCCGGATTCCAGCCACCCCCACCGCCTCCCCACTCCCTGCATCGGCCTGGCCCTTGCAAGCCAGAGGCTTCTGGAATTATTCCCTCTGCCTCAAACACCCTTCCCCTAGTTATCTGCCTGGTTATCGGCACAAACAAATCCAGTTTTTGTCTGTTACACCCCCAGGTGAAAGCAACTGGCTGGATGAACATGAAAGCTGCAAGATCTGTTTGGGATGAAAGACTCAAAATACAGACTGAGCGAATATGAGGCGATTATGATCCCTGTTTGACAAATGGGGACCAGGAGGCACAGAGAAGTTAAATCACTTGCCCAAAGTTTCCCAGTTAATAACCATGTCACCAGGATTTGAACCCGGGCCACCTGGCTCCAGCGTCTGTGCCCTGAACCCTATGCGGGTTTTCTCCAGTGAAAAAGCAAGCATTAGTAGCAACAACAAATGAGTAAGTCCTACTTATTGAGCCCGCCCTGCAAACTCCTAATCACTCTTCAAAGCCCTAATGTTATAGTCCAGTCTCTTTAAAGCATCCAACCTCTGGATTCCCCTCCAAAACAGCCAGCTGCTTTCCCCCCTGGCTTCCTTAGGCTGTTGCCTGCATCCCTGATTCCTCTGTAACTCCTATCTTTGTTCTCACAAGCATGAGGTGCCCCAGATTTGGAAACAACTCCCATTCTGCTCAAGCTCCCAGCTCAGGTCTCAACCCCATGGTCTCCACAGGGCACTGCCTCCCGTCAGGACTACCAATTTCTTGGGCAGACTGGGAGTCTCTCAGGGAAAGGGCCTCAGGGGGGCACTTGGGTGGCTCAGTAGGTTAAGCGTCTGCCTTCGACTCAGGTTGTTATCCTGGGGTGTTGGGATCGAGCCCCACTTTGGGCTCCCTGCTCAGAAGGGAGCCTGCTTCTCCCTCTCCTGCTCCCTCTGCCTGTCACTCCCCCTGCTTGTGCTCTCTTTCTCTAGCTCTCTCTGTGTGTCAAATAAATAAATAAAACCTTAAAAAAAAAAAAAAAGAGGGCCCGAGGGGCATCTGGGTGGCTCAGTTGGTTAAGCGTCTGTCTTCGACTCAGTTCATGATCCCAGGGTCCTGGGATCGAGCCCCGCATCGGGCTCCCTTTACAGCAGGCAGCCTGCTTTTCCCTCTTCTGCTCCCCCTACTTGTGCTCTGTCAAATAAGTAAATAAATTCTTAAAAAAAAAAAGGGCCTGAGTTGCTTTGTGTCCGTGTCTGGCACCTCCCAGCGCAGAGCTGGCCCCAGGTTAACATGTAAGGATACAGGCTCGGGGAGGGGCCGTGACCTGTTCAAAGTCACACAGCAAGGCACAGGCGAGCCAGCCTGCGCCCACGTTCTTTGAGACTGCGGCTGCCACAAAACACCAGGGCTCAGAGATGGGCAAGTCCCACCCCTCCAGGAAAACCGACCTTGGAGACAAATTGCCCAGCCAAGAGCCTCCCCAGGCCTTGCCTCTCTCACCTCCATTATCGCTGACACCCAGCCGCTCCCCAGAAGTCTCAGTCTCTGTCGGCTCGTCCTCCTCTTCCTCGTCCTCCTCCCTGGGCAGGGTAGGCCGGGGTGGGCTCCGCGCAGGGCTGGGCGGCTGTGGTGCTGGTGGGGGCACGGGGGGCCGGGCGGCGGCAGCAGCCCTGTGGGCCAGGGCGATGTCGTGGAGGCAGCGGCGGGCAGCCTCGGCCAGGGCCCCACGGCCGTGGGCTGCATAGGCACAGGGGCCCGGGCGGGGTGGTGGGGGCGGCGCGGCGGTCAGCAGCACCAGCTCCGTGCCTGTCCGGGCCCGGAAGCGCTCAGCGGCCCCCACCACCGCCTCCCACAGCTCCTCGGGGCGCCCCGACGCCATCCACGCCCTGCAGGGCAGAGCAGGACAGAGAGCTGAGGCCCAGCTGACTGACTGCACGGGCTACACCTGGCCCCCAGGCGTCCACCTGCCCCTAGACGCCACTCCCATCCCTCCCGGCCACCTTGTCCCAGCTGAGCTCAGCCCCTTCCCCCCGAATTCCTCCGCATCCGGACCTCTTGGCCCCATCCCCAACCCTCGGGCCCCATCCTTCCTGCTCCGCCCTGTCCCCACAGCCCCAGTCCCTCCTCTTGGCCCGGCCTTGTCCAATATGGGAACCACCAGCTGCAGGTGACTAAGGAGCACGTGAGATGTGGCGGGTCCAAGGTGAGAAGTGCCGTGAGTATGAAATCTGCACTGGTGTTTGAAGACTTATTACAAAGAAGTTGAATGTCAAAGGTCTCCCTGGCAGTCTATTGACTACGCGTCGAAGAGATGACATTTCAGATACAATGGCTAAATAAAATATATGGCGGAAATAAATTTCACCTGTTTTACTTTTTTAATGTGGTTTCTACGAGATTTGAAGTGATTTGCATGGCCAGCATTCTTTTTCTGCTGGACCATGATTCCTGCCTCTTCCTGAACCTCTTAGCCTCCAGTTTGGGCAGGGCGCGGCCCCTTGGGGATCCTTCTACACTGCACCTGCCCCTGCCCCTCCCTGGGATCCCCAGGACAAGGTCATGGCCGCTCAGCTTCACAGTCTTCCAAACTTCTGAGGCCTGAGGCCTTCAGTCAAGATCACATGTCATCTAGTTACTTGTCAATCTTTCTCTCACCCTAGTGTGGAAGGAGCTTTTCCCTCACCTCAGATCGGGTGAGTCCCCCCTCTCTGGGCTCCAACAATGTCTGAGAATCCCCCCATTCTAGCACAGGGCTCTCTGGGGAGGACTGTCTGGATCCATCTCCTCCTTGAGCCCCCAGGATGGATCAGATGCCTTCCCTAGACCCACAATGCCCTGGGCTACCTCCATTATAGCTCACTGTCCCTTGAGCTTATGGCAGTTGTACCTCTGTCTGCCTCCTCCATCAAACTGTGAGCTCCCCAAGGTCAGGGATCTGTGCTCCAGGATAGGTGGGCCCTAAGCAGACAATCTGCTGGATGCATCTCCTTATGAGATGAAAAGAGCAAAGGGTTGGGGCGCCTGGCTGGCTCAATTGGAAGAGCATGCAACTCTTGATCTAAGGGTTGTGAGTTCGAGCCCCACATTGGGTGTAGAGATTTAAATAAACAAACAAAAGAGAGAGAGAGAAAAGAGCAAGGGGCAAGGGGGCTGGCTTCCTGCCATCTCAAACCTGCTGTGTGACCTTGGACCACTCACTGGCCCTCTCTGTGCCTCATTTTTCTTCTTCCTGTAAACCAGAGTGGTTGAGCCAGGGCTGCTGGGAAGCCGAGGAGCCTCCTCAGGGAGGTAGGGGGCACCCCATCACTAGAGGAATTCAAGCAAGGTTCTAGTACAGCCAGGGTCATGTGTAGCTTGATTTCAAATCGCCAGCCCTTTTCAACTCATAATCACATGAGCCAGTGTTTGCTGAGCACTGACTCCATGTAGGGAGCCCACACCTGTCATTTCGCTTCCTACCTGACCCACTAAGGTGGGAGCTATTACCTCACAAATGAGACAAGCAAGTCTCATAGAATACAAAGCCCATGCTGGAAGCCACATGCAGCAAGAGCACAACCATTCCTGACAGATCCCATAGCAAATTCACACTGCACTTCCCACAGGCCAGGCAAGGAATGCAAGCGGGTCATCACCATTCTCATCCCAACCTCTCCCCAACCCTATGAGGGAGGGACTGTTATTACCCCACTTCACAGTTGCAAACTGAGGGCCAGGGAGATTCAGTATTTTGATTAGGGTCATAGGGCTGGAGAGGAGAGCCTGTTCTTAATCCCAAATGCCATCTTGCCTTCCTTATCAGGAAAGGTTTATGTCCAGATGGGGAAAGTGAGACTCAGAGAGCCTCAGGTACTGGTCAGAAGGCCCAGAAGTTAAATGGGTCAGAGCAGGGCTGACTCTGCTGTCTGCCTGACTCCAAAATCCAACAGAACTGAGAGGCGCTCAGAGTCTCCCCTAGCTGATGGAGGAAACCAAGGCTCAGGACAGGGAAATGACTGGCCCAAGGTCACACAGCCTGGCAGTGGTAGACCTGGGGCTCTCACATCCCTGGGACATCAGGATTAAACTCTCTGGCCTAGATCTTAGAGTAGTTACAGGACTGAAAAGAGTGAAATGGGGTTGAGTGGGTGTGAGAGTCCCTCCACTGTATGAAGGAGGCCCGGGCAAATAGGAGAAGGGCAACTCACACCTCTCTGCTAAGGCCTGGGGGCTCTCTGGAGTTAGTTCCCCAAAAGTAGAGTGGCCAAGACCAGGGGAGACTCCATCCTTTCAGCTGCTGGAGGAAGTCCTGTATCCTCTAAGGAGCTCAGAAATGAATGGAAGGTTCCCCAGCCCCCCAAACTGAGGATCTTAGGATTAGGGAGAGGTGAGACTTGTCCCCCATAGGAGGGGGAGGGGAGAGCTAAGGTAACTGGCCCCTTAGGATGAGATGAGGAGGTGAACTGAAGAAAATCACTCTAGGAAGAGGTGAGGAAAGAGGCAAAGTCCGCCAAGGAATGAGGGATGCTAGTGAAGCCCCCTTCCAACCACCTGTCAAACTAGCAGTGCCCCTCCCTCCGCCCCAAAGTGGGAGAAACTCGAGGATGCCCCTCCACCCCCGACGCGGCGTAGCCAGGGTAAAGATGAATGTCTGGGCATTTCCTCGACCTCTGAGAGACCTCCTTCCCACCTCGCCCGGGGGTCCAGGGAAGACCCACTTCGCTAGGAAGAAAACAGGAAATCCCGCCCAGGTGGGGGTCAGAACCGGAAGTCCCGCCTTTGGACGGGTGAGGGGTGCCCCGAGTCCCCCCGAACAACCCCCAGACTCCGTGGACATGGTCCACGACCAAGGCAAGGATCCTAGTGGCTCTGGAGACCGGAGGATAAGGCTGTCTAAGTTTTGCCTTGGGTCAGACACGACGGTTCCGGGGGGGGGACCCCTTTCCAACGCTCAGCGTAGGGTCGCTGGAAGATCTCTGCCCTCTGATCTACGCAGGCCATACCCCTCCCGCGAGCGGCTCGCCCTCCCAGCGCCCCTCTCCTCCGGACTGCCAAATCCTCCCCACACCGCGGTTCACAACGCCGCCTCCACTCACGTGCCCGTAGCCAGCATGGCCGGCCCGGCGCCGTCACCGCCCTCAAAAGACATGGCGGCGCCTTGCGTCACTTCCGCGTGTTTGGCCCTCCTCGGTTCTGCACACTCCGCCTCCCTTATCGGGGCCGCCCGAGACCAAAATGGCCACGGGAACATCACCGGATCACAGTGGGGCAATGGTGACGGCAGGGTGCCCGTAAGAAAGATGGTGAAAGAAAGGCTTCAGCTTGCTCGGAAACAAGCCAGAACCACTTCGATTTGTTCCCAAGAAATACGGCCGTCGGAATGTGCACTCTCAGGACCACAGTAAACTAAGGGCAGCGACCTGACGCCCCTCACCCATCGTCGACCTTTTCCACAGAAGTGGAGGAAAGCAGTGCCCATTAACGACATGGCAAACAGCGGGCATCACTTGCCCAAAATGTATATGGACTCTCCCTCCACCCTATCTCCCTTCAGCACCAAGGGTGGGAAAGATCCAATATGGCAACTTTTTTGCTTCGGTTTGCCAGGTTTCAATATGGCAGCCCAGACCGCTGCCTCCCGACGGTGACGCAGGGATTCGACTGGGTCCGCTCCGTTCCCGGGGATGCTGACGGCTTCATCCCGTTGACCAAAGTCCCTCAGCACCTCTTGTGACGTACACCTCCTCTCACCTTCTTTCCCTTTACCCGTTTCTTTCCCAGGACCTTGCTGTCGCGCCCCTCAGAGAGATGGGACTGCCCCGCATTAACATGGCCGCAGCTGACAGGCTTTGGCAGTGCCCTCGAGCAAAATGGCATCTCCTTGGCTTCGATGCCAGTATACAATATGGAGAAAGAAGTAGGCGTTTCGGCGAGAGCTCGGGCGAATCGGGGGAGCCCTTGGACCCTCCCCCTTGTTTACTTCGTGGTAAGGGGAGCAGCACTGCGCTTGCGCACTCTCGCTGGCCCGCTCCACCTTCGCCATATGCGCCGTGTGACTTACACCTCGTGGTCCAAGTTCAACCACCCCATGCTGAAAGATGGTTACATCCACTCCCGTTCTAGAACAGGCAAGGGCGCTACCACTGTCCAGGCTTGAGGGGAGTGTCCTATCCGGATGTGACAGCACGATGACCCGGAAAAGGAGAGGGCCGGGGGAGTGGGACCTCGGCCGCGGCTATGGAGGGAGCCGGTTACAGGGTAAGCACTGAAAACGCGTTCTTTCCTTTCTATGGATGCGAAGCGACGCCCTCCGGTAGTCTGCTTCGCCCCAACGCCCTGCAGGGGCTCTGGGAGCCTGGCTGAGCCTTAGCGAACACACACCGTTCCTTTATAAATGCGCTGTCACCCTCCCCTCCACTGCCCTAGGCAAGACCCTTACCTTTTAGCCCCGCCCCCTGGGCGTCTGGGCCGCTCCTTTGGGCCCCGCCCCCTGGGTGTCTTCCTGCGCTTGGGTCCCGCCCCTCACTGGTTCCTGTGCCCAGGTGGTGTTTGAGAAGGGTGGCGTGTACCTGCACACCAGTGCTAAGAAGCACCAAGACCCGGACTCACTCATCGCTGGCGTCATCCGCGTTGTGGAGAAGGTGGGCCGGGAGGGAACAGGGCTCGCGCAGGCCCAGAGCGGGGTGGAGGCGGCATCTGTCGGCTGTGGTCTGGAGGTCACGATGGGACGATAGGAAGGCAGGGGGTGCGGACTGGAGCGAGAGAGGGGGCTTTGTGAGCCTGAGGGTCCAGACGGGGAAGAAGTTTGGAAATACGGCCTGGGGGAACTGGAGGGGGGGGGGTCCCTCTAATCCCTCTTTTGTTTTCTCAGGACAGTGATGTTGTCCTGCAGTGGGTTCCTGTAGAGGAGGCAGGAGATTCTACGCAAATTCTCTTCTCCAAGAAGGTAGGCTTTCCTCCCCTTCTCCTTTTTCCACTTGTTTTTTTCCAGGTTTGGGCAGTAGAAGACATGTGAAGGACTTGGGTGCAATCTCAGACGTACTCTTGGAGCATGTGTGATCCTGGTTGGGATCTAGGCTCTCCTTGCTCCTTGGTTTCCTTCTCTCTGTGAAATGGGGCTGAAGATGCCCAGTCAAAAGAAAGAAGTCACCGTGAGATTCATAACTATGGGGACAGCGGTCCCCTCATCCCCTTTTGTCTTTGGGAGAGCCCTGCGAGGGTGCAAGAGGACAACACAGACCATGGATTCAGGTTCCACGGGCTCTCAGTCCACACGAACCTGAAGGGGTATGGCATTTCCCCGGGGGGCAGAAAGTACACTTTCTGGTACTCCTTTCTACTCCGGTACCAGGCCCTGTGCTGGGACCTGGAGTTGAGTCTGACCCTGACCCTGCCTCAGTCTTCACCCCCATTCTATTTTGGGAAACTGAGGCACAATGATTGGAAGCCCCTTTTGCAGGGTCAGAAAGCTAGAAGGTGTTGGAACTTGGGTTTGAACCCAGACTCTCTGGCTCCAGGGGCCTGCCCCTTTCTGGAGGGAGCAGACATTTGCACTGAACTCGAAGGATGAGAAGGGGGCAAGAAAGTACTTCAGGAATGGCAGGAGGAAGATCGTTTCAGGATGCAGGAGGAAATGGGATATCTCTGGAGAGGGGTTTGCTGGGAATGTGGTTGGGCCTGCAATGCCTGACTGAGAAGCTTGGACTGTGTTCTAGGGGCCCCCGGGGGAACCATGGGAGAAGGGTGTGGGTGTAGAAAGCTCCCTTGGGAAACCGTGTGGGAGATGGGCAGAAGGTCTGAATGGAGGGAGGTTATAGGCTGGGAGGTCAGGGAGAAGATTAGAATGATGGGCCAGGGGGAGAGAAGGAAGCCTCACTTGGGGCAGTAGGGCTTTGAATAACCTGGTGGGGGTAACAAATGGAGATTCCAGAATTCTCCTGAGGAACCTGGCTTCCCAGGGTTGAGGAAGAAGCAGACAGCATTCTGCATTTTTCGTCAACCTCACAGGCCGGCTGAGTACCTTTCTTGAAAATGTGGCCGTCTTCCTTGGCACTCTTATTTTTGACTAACAGAAACCCACTGAAACAGGTTTCAGCGGAAAAGGCACACAGGATACACTTAGCTCCAAGGAACGCAAAATCTGGCTGACGACAGGTTAAGCAGACAAATGTATTTCTTCCCTTTCACAAGACACTCAAAAGAGGTATGGGGCTGCTGGCCTTGGTTGGCAACATCAGGGCCTAGATCCCTGAGACCCTCCTGTGCGTGCCCTGGTCGCCTTTAGATGACTCCTTCAGCTGCAACCCCTGCATCTTCCTTTTAAGGCAGGAAGACGGGGGCAAGCAGGGTGGCAGTCACACATCTGTTCTGCTTATCAGGAAAAGCAAAACATTTCCCAGAAACTCTGCATCAGCTAGAAGTTATTTTTGGCCATGTGGAATAGAAACAGAAGTGATAGAAACTCCTACGTTTCCCATCAAAAAAGTCCAGAAGTCAGCTCACAGGTCCAGGTGTCATCACCAACCCGGCATTCTTCCATCTTTGCTCTGCCGTCCTCGGCATGTGGCAACCATCCTCATGGCTGCCTTGAGGTCCAAAAAGGCTGTTGGAGCTCCAGCTTTTTTGGACTGGTTTTGCTCACTTTATATGTGTGCTGCAGGTTAGCCAAGGAGCTTTGTTCGTCGTGATTGCTCAGAGAAGCATGCTGCTAGAGCAGCTACTGTTCCTTGTGGCAGAGAGCAAGAGCCTGGCGATTAAACAGTCCATCCTGGAAGGGATATGTCCCAGCCCCTTGGTCAGAACTAGTTGCATGACTCCAGCCAGCCAGTAGAGCTCAGTGATCTGTGATCCTGCCACGTGCCCAAGAGGCAGAGGGCTGCAAACGGTGGCAGAAGGCAATAGTGGTTCTCCTTATGTAAACATTGGTGAAACGTCACATTCACCTCACAAGACACGGAGGGCAGGGATGGCTTTGCCAGGGCTGGTTCAGCAGCCTCAATGGACAGGTATCTCTGTGACTCCTTTCATGGCCCTAGTTGGCTGCCAAAGCTGCAGACACCATGTTCTCCCTCAGCAGCACCCAAAGACTGGCCTGAATAGGGTGGTGTTCACCCCTGGAGGTGCCTTTTTTATCAGGAATTTCCCTTCTTTTAAACTTCCCACAGATGGCATCTCGGCTCCCACTGGCCAGAGGGAGCCAAGATGGGGGGATTGGGGCCTGAGGCCACTTGGAACCACAGGGAAGGCTGAGAAAGCAAATAGTGGGAGGTTTTAGCTTCTGTTGTGGGAGGGGCTCTGTCTGCCTGGAAGGAGCAGCAGAAACGGCTTTCGGGTAGACCAACCATCTGGGTCCTTCCAACAAGGTTCCCTCGTGCAGGGTTTCGTTGTGGGAGTCATGGAACATTCTGGTTACTTTAAGCAGGAAGGGATTAAAGGCAGACAAGTAGAGGCTTGGAGAGTTTGTACAAGGGCTAGCGGAACAGGACTGACCCTGCAGAACTGACCTGCCAGGGGAGCTGCCACCACCTCCAAAATGAGGGCAGTGGGGAGGGATCATCATGGGACCTGTGGACACCCAAGAACACTACACCCGAGCTGCCACCCAAGGGCAGGAAGCCACTCGGCCCTCACCAAGCTAGTGACTGGGCGCTGGGAGACTGAGCCAGCCACCACCACTACCCTAGTCACCTCTCTGTGTGTGGGAAAACAGGAGTCTCCAACGTCAGCCCCGCAGCCCTGAGCGGTAGGAAGTTGCCCCTGCCTCTTTCCTGCTTTCTGCTGTCTTCCGTCATGGGTCCTGACCTATAGCTGCAAAGGAGTCTGGGAAATGTAGTTTTCGCATTCCCGCATTTGCCTGACCGGAAGGCACACACTAGCCTGTGAAAGAGACTTCCAGCCTCTGCAGCACTCATGTACTTTGTCCCTTCCCTGTCCTTCCCCCATGGCCTGTGGCCAGCACTATCGGCTGTGACTGCACTGCCGTCTGCCTCAGTTTCCCTCTTTGTTCATTGGGGCTGCCTTCCAGGGCAGCCTCACAGCTTGGATCTGGAAACCCTGAATCTACAGCCCCTCACTCTCTTCTTTTCCTCTCTTCTCCCAAGGATGTCAGTGGGGGTGACTCCTGCACTTCTGAGGAGGAACCGACCTTTGACCCTGGCTATGAACCCGACTGGGCTGTCATCAGCACCGTGCGGCCACAGTCCCGCCATTCAGAGCCCACTAGAGGTAGGCTGAGCTGGTGCCCCTGAGGAGCAGGTGGAGACGTGTCTTACCCTCAGTGGTCATGGCTCCACAGGCTT